ATGCGGATCGTCGCATGCTGAATCAATGCTATCTTGATTCGGAGGAGTTTACTGGCAACGATGGATACCGGGAGCCTGATGGCCTGTATGGTGATGGTGCCGTGGCTCACGGCGCAGACCGCGGGTACCTCGAGGTCAACAACCAATGGCGGCGTGGCGATATGGGCTACCTTCCCGTTGCACCCACCCAGGGTGACGCTGTCGATGCGCAAGCGGTATGCCCATTATCCCCTTGGCATGCTTCGACCATGCCGGCTGGGCATCACGTTTTGAGGCCTGCCCCACTGCTCGCTGACATTCTACATTCTCAACACTCACACCCTACGTTGCTGAACCCGTAGCTGTATGACCGGGCCGGTGCGGGTGGCGCCGTGGGCATGTATGCACAGCGTCATCCTGAAGCGGTATGTTGCAGCCTGTGCAGAAATCCAATTGACATTCTGCTGCTCGCCCAAGATGCATGGGCTCGATGGCGCACGCGAGACAATATCCCTCATGATGTGTCCTGGAACAGGCCTACGACAACCCCCGTGCACTCTTGGCCGACATTCGTGTAAGCCCCGTGATACGCCACTGCTTTCTTTTGCACCTCCTGTGGCTCATGCGCCGGCTGCGTTTTATTGGCAGGGCGAGCAAACTGAGTTTGTCAACCCGGCCTTTGAGGCGGTATGTACAGCAACACTTTGGGCTTCTTTGTGCCTGTTGCCCATCGCCTTTTCGTTTTCATCGCCGTGGTCATGGGGAGGAAATACCTTGGCCTACAGCTCCCTTATTTGCTTGCGCTGATTGTCTCTGCTTTTCTTACTCGGCTTGACCCGCATTGCCTCACCTTTCAAACTCACTTGACCCTCGCCGGCAATCACTCCAGCCGTATGACGTGGCGACTCGCTCGTCAGATCCGGTCGGTACCTTTAGGCACCTTTGCCATGGGCACACTTGTGCATGGTGCCGCCTTGGCTGCGTGTGATGTAGCGTTACTCTCAGCCTCACCTGTGTGATATTGTAGGGATATCGTCAAGTCGCCGATTTGCTCAAGAACAAGAAGAAAGCCAAGTCGCAATATCAACATGTGGATGCGTTGCCTTCCATCCCCTCAGAGGTTGGTACTGTTCTTGTTTGATAATTTTTGCTTTTCGACTTTTTCAACTTACAGCACCCAATGCGCAACTTAGATGTTGTCACATCCGGACCGTCGTGCCGTGGTCGAGGTGATGAACGAGTACGATCAAGTGCGCCGCTCTGTGCGGGTGAGTCGGGCATCGTTCGTGACACACAACACCTCTGACCACCCATGGCCATGCCTGCCTCAGCTGCCTGCTTTAACGGCTAAACCTTGACGCGCATTGTATGCTGCCAGGGCCGCCCATCGGTGCATGGTGGAAACCTCTATGGCGATCACGCCGTTGAGGATGACGAAGAGGGTCTCTACGCCGAGACAGGCTACGCGAGCGTGCCAAAATGGGTCGCGCGAGATGCCGATTTGCCTCGGGTACGCTTCGTGTGTCTTGATCACTTGGTGAAACTTTTTTTCTGCCATTGCCCTCATTGTACTCTTATTCAATGGCTGTTGTAGGTTGACCTGGATGAAGTGCGTTCTCGCCAAGGTGGCCGCTAAACTGTAACTGTTCCTTTTGTTTCTGACCGCTTTCTCTCCTTCTCTCCTTTTTTTTTGTGTGTGTGTGTGTACACGCACTGTCTGATCGAGTGTTGTTTTCTGTGTGAACATTCTTCTGTTTCTGTAAATCATGGATGGCCATGGAGCTCTCTGTGCCGGCAATCATGAACCAGAGCTCGAGCAATTCATTTGTCTCCCTTTTGACTCTTCCGATTGTCAGCATCTTTTCATCCCCATGCCAGTCCAAAGCGTGCTTCATGTCACAGTTTTCTCCTGTCTCTCTTCTCTTCTTTGCTGTTTATGCCCTCTCTGCCTCTCTTCCCTCTCTCTCTTGTCACACGACACGTGTGTTTGCTCTTCTCGCGCTGCCTTTGTCGAGAAGAAAAAAAAGACCTCTCAATTTGCCAGGCGCTCGGAGTTGGGAACTGCCAGATTTACGGGCCGCGTACTTTCCGTGCACACGCCAAGTGGTGCAGGAAAGAAAGGCTTGGGGGGTGATACAACCAGATTCTCACCCCTCGGCGTTGAATATTCCTCCGAGTGGGGACTGGGGGTACCTTCTGGTCCAGCCACCTCAACAATGACCGAATCCTGGCCCAAGCGTGTCAAGGTAGGTTGTCCTCGGCGAAAGACCCCTCGACTTGCCCTTCCGCACCAAAGCACAGGCTTGGAAAAGTTCAACGGGAAGCTCAAAGAGAAGTGTGGCCTACTCCATTCCATGCGCCTCTGCCTTGACACATAGGTGCAATACCATGCTGCCGAGGGCGGTCAGGAACCCATCCCCATTGGTACGTCGGCTTTATTCTGTCGCATCCAAACCTCTCAACCGTGCTGTGCTGTCCCCTTTTGGATGTGCAGCCATCCAAGTGGCTCATTGTCGACGGAAAATCTGTGGTGCAACCTCTTAGCTTCCTTTGAACATGCCAATCTCAAGCTGAAACGCGCCAATCAGCTGCTCAACATCAAGGTTCTGCCAGAGTGTCGTTACAAGTCATGATTCTGTTGTTGTTTCTGGTTCTTCTTGGTTATTTTTCTCCAAAGCAGCCCCGTCGGTGCCTGCTCGTGCTGACACGGTTCCGTTGCGCTTGGTTTGATGATCGCGCGCCCAAAACATCCAGATGTTTGAGGGCTCAACCGCGCGGACTGCAAGTCAGCGGGTCATGGTGCGTTGTGAGCCTCGCAGGCCTTGCGTTGCAAAGCATCGTGCGCGACGCGTTTGCTCTGCTGGCAATCACCACCACCTACTGCACATCGCGTTTTGCTACACAGGTGGCCGAAACGGAACAGCTGACCTACCAAGGTGCAGCAGAAAGCAACGGTCTGCTCCAGCCGCGCTACCTCTTGGCCCGTCGCAGCGCTGACGGCAAGACCTTGGACCTCTACGACGCCCGTGTTTTCCGTTTGCAACCGGTTCTCAAGGGTATGTATTTCCTCTTGCGCAGGTTCGAGCTGGGCGGGGCTTGCTCGCCTCCTAGCCCTCATGCTTTACGCACATGCCATCCGCTTGTTGCTTGTTGCTCAAGTAGATTCGGAAAGTGAAAAGAATACCAGGACGCTGGACTCGGGCGAGCGGGTAATGCAAGCCCGTGCCGATCTGACAGAAACGTTTGGAGGCAAGAAGAAAAAGGCTCAGCTACATGCCTTGGAACGCAACAAGTTCGTGTTTGGCCACCCCACATTCCAGCCGTGCTTTGTCACAGCAAGCTTGACTCTTACTCATTGCTTGCCATGCATGGGCTTATTCCCGCACGCGCCCACACACAGAATCGATAGCAAAGCATTGGCTGCTGTGGGAGGTGTCATGTACGAAGCACTATCCAAGCCCATGGATATCGATTCCGGTGCGATCCCTGCCGTTTAGAGTTGATTTTTGGAAGGGTCGTTTGCGTCCTTTTGCTCATCACTCCTCGTTCAACTCAACGACATTGCAGACCCTGCCAAGCAAGACCAAGACCGCTTCCGCCCGGTGCCCCAATATGACCCTGCTGCCACCGTACCAGCTGACGTGTATCCACTCAAACATTGTACGCCCGTGCTTCATCATCTTGCATCCACGTTTGCCCCTCCCCTCCACCCCTGTGCGACAAGTCAAGCTGCGATGCATCAGATGCATCGGCGCATTCACTCTCTTTCTTCCATCATACTTGAACGGGCGGCAGTGATCTCGCATGCCGATGCCTCGGCTGTGGCCGAGTTGTGCAAGCCCTTCACCGCGGCTGATGAACAGACCGTGGCCAAGTGGAAGGCCACCAACAAGTATGTCAGGCTGCCCCGTTGCCTTGTTGGCTCTTTCATTTACCTTGATGGGCCAAGGGTTATGCTTACGACTGTGCCGCCGTCTAGATTCTCGCCGTTGGTTTTTGACGGCCTGGACCTTCTCGTGACCAAGAGTGGGAGTGCCAAAAAGATGCTGGTATGAACACACTCGACCTTAGTGTCTCATCCCACGCTTCTCAGGCGGATTCCCTCACACAACCCACGAACAGGCTCGCGTTTTGCAATACCTGGTTGAGTTGCTCAAGTTTTACAACTATGTTCGAACACATCGCAAGATTGTGGCCATTGAAGTGAAGGAAGAGCTGCAGGTACAATGTTCTCTGCGTGCCAACCTCCTGATTGCCAGCCATCACTCACGCTGTGACATCCACGATGACCTCGAGCATAGAGCGTGCCGCCTGCTATTATTGACTCGTTTATGGACAAATTTGTCTTCAGCGATAGCACGGGCCAGACGCCTTCAGTCCGTGAGAATGGGTATGCACCCCGCTTCCTAAATGTAAACTGTGGCCCACCGCCACCCAGCTGCCAACCGTCGTCTCACGGCCGATGTGTTGTGTCTTTGTAGGGCCAACTTGTCCAAGCGTAACATGCATTTGCTGATTCACCATCTCCTTGTATTGGCATTCCACGCTCGTGGTTTCTCAAAGCTGAGCAGCGCACGCGTTGCCGAAGCCCTGTCCATGGCCCCTGCCACGTACGTTAGAGCCGCCAGCTCTTGATTTTTTTTGCCAGCGCCAGCCACGGACGAGGCTAACAAGATCTCCCCCCCCCCCCCCCTTTTTTTTCTACTTCACAGAGCGGTGACACACCTCAAGGCCATTGGATGCAAATGCAGCGCCGTCAAGGCGACCCCTCAAACTGCCGTATGTTCCCCTTACTGGACCATTTACCCCGATTCGCGAGTCATATCCCACGTCAACGCCGCTCACTCTGTGTTGCATCTGACTGCCAGGCATACCATGTGGCCGAGCTGGTGGCACCGCTCCAGTTCCCCAAGGTCAAGCGAGGCCCGCCCAAGGGTCGATAAACGCACTCTTGCATTCGCACCCGACTTTGTCCCTGTTTCTGAAGCGAAGCGATGTGTCCTCGTCTGGCTCGCGTTCCTTTTGCTTGCTTTTTCGTCTCTTCTTAATTCTCCAAGCTCACGACTACAACTTGCATCAATTCAAAGATTGTATCTTACCTTCGTTGCAGATGGAAAACGCCCTGGGCTTGCAAACCCATCTGCGGCGTGCACAGCACAAAGCACTCAGACCCGGTTTTGGATGCCATGTGATGCGACTGCGACCGCACCTCTCTTCTTCTCTCTTCTTCTCTCTTCTTCTCTCTTCTGTTTCTCTCTCGTTTGCTTTCAAAAGGAATCAGTGCAGCGTTTTGTGTTTCATGACGTCAAGTTCCGTTATTTTCACACACACGCATATCCAATACACACGCGCACACACACACTCACACACGGATATCGCGAAATGGCAGCACCAAAAGTGGATGAAGCTGAGGTCCAGGCTCAGTTTGATGCCTACCTGTCCACCTTTGATGTGGCCTCCGTGCTGACCAAGGAGAGCAAGGAGGCCCAGGATGCAGTTGCCGAACAGCTCGCAAAATTTGATTCTTTCTGGAAATTGGCTGCGCTTCGTTCTCGTGACTACGATCTGGAGCTGGCAGCCAAAGTGCTGACCAACTACATCAAATGGCGCAAGGACTTCCGAGTTGATGAGATCACCGTTGACAACAATGCCGAATTCCGGGCCCTGATCGAAATGAACAGCGTCGTGCTGGCAGGCAACCATGCCAAAGAAGGTCGGCTCACCCCAGGCTTGCACGCAACCTGTCAGGCCCTTGCCCTTGCTACATCCCGCTGGCGTGTCCTCACCGCTACCCTCGCCCGGTTTGTATGTCTGATTAAGGCTCCCTGGCCATCGTGGTACGCCCCCGACGCAACGATCTCACCCGATTCACTCCTGAGGACATTCTGCGCGCCATGCACCTCGCCGTTGAGTACGGCCTGCGCCGTTTCCCCGAGGTGGCGCAAAGCAAGGGTGCGTCACTCGTTCCGAACCGCGTTGTGTGCGCATACATGCGATATACCTTTGCACACGCACATGCGACCCGCCCACCATGTCATGAGGGCGGGGCAATCACGTACCGCGCCTAGCAAATCCTGCCAAGTGGTGCATGTTTCGCGCTCCTGCTCACCACACACCAACATTCAGGCTTTGCTGTGATTATGGACGTGACAAATGCTTCGTCATCTCAACTGGACCGCCGGGTTGGTTGCCTTTGAGCAAGCTTCAACAGCTGATTGACCCGCCCATGCACATGCTCCGTGAACTTTGCATTCATGACCTTGGCCGTGCGTTGGCCCATGCAACACAGATTCCGCAAAACTTGGGGCCAGCTGTCTCATACGCCTGGCCCATCAAGATTTCGGCCATTTACGTCGTGAGCATGCCCTTCTTTTTTCGGTGCGAACATTCATTCATCCTCAAGCACATGCTCTGTGTCGGCCTCTTCCGCTCGTGAGGGCTCCTGCTCACCATCTGACATCTGCCATCTGTCTTCTGCCCCTCCCTGCGATGCGCCCTCGTTCCCACACCTAGCATGATTTTTCCCATTGTCAAGATGTTTTTTGAGGAGCGCCTGCGCAACATGATCACTGTTCTGCCTGGTGGCCCAGATCAACTGAGGTCTGTCCGACAAACTCACTCCTGCCATGTCTGCTGGCTTGGGCTCCGCCGTCTCCTTATCCATGTCTGGAATCTTCATTTGCCGCTCGCTCTTGCTCGTTTGCTGTGGACGCAGCCAATACTTTGACCTTGACCAGCTTGAGGAGGACCAGGGTGGCTCCTATCAGTTCGATGCCGAGGACTACATTGCATACATCTCAAAAATGCAAGCCGCGTCCGATGCTCCCAACGAGGCAGAGTAGAGGCAGAGGGGCCACACCCGAGTGTGTTCTGCGCCTGATGCGACACCCCGATTTTTTAGAAGCGTCTTCCATGTAGTCCTTCCGCTTTTATGTCCAGCTGGCCTGCATACTGATCCGTGCGTGCTATGAAGAGAACTCGTACCAATCGACAAACAGGCATGCCGCGAGTGCCAGTCCCGCAGTAAAACTTGCCCTAGCTGTCAATTCAAAGTTGTTGTTTCACAAATCACCCAGGATAACCAGATTGGGCTTTGAGCGTGACTGCTGTAGTCATGCGCTGTAATGGTGAGCAAGCAGCCACTCCTATTGCAGTGCCGGCCGCCAATCACTGGGCGGCCTCTCCTCCAGTGACGATACGGTCCGTCGACAAAAGAAGTACCAGGTTAAACCAGCTACCAGAGTAATTCCAGCCACTGTGTAGAAGCTGTTGATCATAGGAGTCGGAGTAAATTTAGCAATACGCCACAGTGAGTAAAAGTCAAGAGCAAAGTGTGGACCAACATGCAAGGCAGGCGGTCAATGCATGAACATACCCATTGTATTCTTTGGCACAGTGGCCACTCTCATCCTTATGTGAGCACTCCTCGAGCACGCCCATGACCTACACTCCCAAAAGAGCCCACGCAACGAATCAACTTCATGTGACAAAAGGAGAGCGTTGGGATCGTTCCTCGACTTTGTCGAGCGCGCAGTCGCGATCGGCCCCACCTTGAGCGCCAGCGTTGAAGGCCATACGGCCCCTAAATTGGCCAAGGTTGTCAAAAGCGTCCTGCGCATGCAAGTGGATGCGTCAGTCTCACAATGACATCATCACCACGGGCATAAACAGCAGAACGCCAGGCGACAACGCCGCTGAGCAGAGGTGAACAAAGCCCTCACATATATGTGCCTCCCAAAAGCGGGTCGGACAACTTGCAAAAAAACTGCATCTGGGCCGTGAACATGATAGTAGAAGCTATAGCAAGCACAGAAGATGAACCAAGGACACGAGCCACTGTGTATGGATCCCTCGCTTTTGCAGGTTGCCAAAAAAAAAAACGCGGTGCGAGCCGCCATCTCGACAGACCGGTGATGGAAAAGAAGGTGGCAATCACAATCAGGGCAAACTCTGCACTCGTGATCCCAGTCCCTCGAGGCAAAATGTACTGCTCGGCATAGTAAACCTGTCGCATCCCAGGGGGCCAAGTGAGGCAAAAGTGACCAGACTGGCGTTTCACGTTGTCATGGGCAATTGCTGGGGTTCGAAGAACAGACCAAGGCAATGGAAGGGATGGCCGCCAGTACGCGGAACGGGTAAGCACGCAGCCACAATTGCATCGGTTGTGTCTGCAGATAACCCATCAAGCTCGGAACGACCAAGGACACCTGCCAACGGACCAACAACAGTGGGCAAATCAGAATGTGCCCCAGACCAATGACCTCCCAGACCTGGTGCGTGTATCTGTGTCTTTGTGCGTGGTTGGCAAGCGGATTGCCCAAAAAAAAGCGAGCATCGCAGCGAAAACCAAGCGCGACGTACGGGAAACATTAAAGGTCCAAGCGAAGCAAGGTCTTCCTTGGGCACGCCAAATTCCTACATCCATCACAAACATGTGCATTCATCAAGCTACCGCTCGAACCTGGCGAACAATCAACCATACGCGCAAGCAAGCAAAAACGGGAAGGGGGCAGGACTGGAGGAAATGCATCGCCGGACGCATCACCCACTTGGAGCTTCAGCGCCGTAACCGATTCCACGCCAGCAAACCCGATGCGACAAGTCAAGATGACAAAGGCTAGCTGTTGGATGCTGGACAGCTTGCAGACTTGGAGCAAACGCTGATAGGTCCCGGCCACAGAGAGCGTAGATTCACCCCTGCACGAGCAAGGAGGATAAGCGGTCTGGCTCCTGGCTTACTCAGCCCCGCGGATAAGCAGGAGCAAGCGGGGCAAACACGAAGCTTACGCGCCGCGGATGGGTTTGCCCTCCCGCTTGAAAAACCAAACCCCCAGCGTGGTGAGGACAAACACCCAGCCAAAGAAGTTCATAAAGGACCCCAATGTCACCATTGGTTCATCTGAAGGGACGCTTCTACACCCAAAACAAATCGGTGATACAAAGCCTGCAACTGAGCCAGCGCGCACATGCTAGACCAGCACTTTTGGGGCAACTTCAAATCCAGACTATGTTCCGGATTGACGCACCGCAGATACTTATTGCAGGCATCGGGGCTGCTAAGAAGCAGAAAAAAAATAAACGAGGTAAAGTAGCCAGCACTTTGCCCAACCGAATTGCAGATGGAGGCCAGATCAACCCGAGCAGGTGACAGCATAGTCAAGGCCCAACTAAACAGCCACGCCCAATGAGCTTTGTGAATGAGCCACCCTCGCATTGGCAGAGGCGACCCCCAGTAGGCTGCCGGTGAGCGGCTTACCCATCCACCGCAACGTCTTGCGTGGCACAGAGGGTGTACAGAAGAAGAAAAAGGATGGTTAGGGTAAAGACATCTGGCGTCGGCTGATCAATCAAGGCATCGACGTGGCTGCTGGAGCCAAGAAGGACTAGTGCAATTAAGATCTGGCATGGAACTGTCCAAGACTTGCGTCGGCCAAACTAGAGCGCGCGATGAGGTGTGCCGTGAGGTTGGTCGGGAAGACAGGGACGCTGTCTCGCAACAGCGGCCCAGTCTGAAACGAGCGCCTCGGAATGAGTCACAAAGAACCGCAGCAGCGTGGCACGCTCTACCTTTTCGAAGAACAAGCCATCGACGATTGGAGCCCACAGCAGCTTGAGAGAAAAGGGATACACGACAAAGCTGAATAAAGCTTGTTGGTTGTAGTCTGCTGTCTTGTCCTGCAGCAAATAAGGAACAGAGGCGGAGAGGCCCCTGCACAGCAAGCAACAGGCCCGGTGACATCGTCAGGGCAAGCATTGATTTCAAACCCCGCCGTCGCGGTGCAGGTCCGTGGCCCTCACAGCTACGCACATGGGCACGCCTTGCAAAAAGTAAAGAAGCAGCAGCAAGGCAACGCTGCGCTTGTCTGATGCGTCAATCTCCTGCTTGCTCATCCTGGGCAGGGCAGCATGGGAAAGATGGAACAGTTAATAAATCCTGTGGTACCACGGGAACATGCTTGCGCCACACACACCTACCGGGCCCATCGATCATTGGCCTTGTCTGCGCCTTGAGCAAATGCCTCGAGCTCTGGCGTCACGACCGAGTCGGTGCCTAGTTGCGCAGGGCCCCAGGCAGTGTCAAGCCCCTAGGTCAGCCTCGTGTGCTTGGCCATGCTTGAAGGCAAGCACGAAGCGCTCACCTTGCATTGTGTCGACTGACCAAGATTTGCCGTTGTCTGTCGTGCACTCGATTCCGCATCAGATTGGCTCTCATCGTACAGATGTCAGGTCGCAGAAACGACTGAAACGCAACCAATCGAGTACATACCACGTTGCCGCATGGTGCTGACTAATTCTTGTCTCCTTGAGGTACCGTCAGTCTCGCCCCGCGCTTGTGCCGAGGCCTCGATCGGTCTTCTGGTCAGTCAGTGAGCCAACGTCCATCGACTCACACTCTTTCCCTTTCAAGAATTGAAACCCGCCAGTCTATCAGCTCTTTGTTCTCTTTCTTTGTTTTTTCTTTTCTTTTCTTTTTGGGGTTGTTTGAAAGGATCAATTTGGAGACTGTGCCTTCACACATGATGTTCACTTGAACTTGATGAGCCGCTAGCCCTGTGACGGGCGAGCATACCACTCGACCACCTCAAAGTTCCCGCTATTCCTGTCTTCCCAACAACCCAAAGACTAGGTACGAACGCACATCCAAGCAGTTGTTAGAACAATTGTGAGATGTTAGCACGTCGACAGATTAGGCCAGAGGTAGAAGCAACACGGACAAGAGCCATTGGTCTCAAGAACTCACGCATCGGACAGAATCACGACCACTGGCGGCGTATTCGTAGGCAAAGAAGTGACGGAGCGAGTTTGTGGCATCTACGAGCATGAAACGACAGGGCTTTCGTGAGCCCCGCTTCTTGTGCAACCCTTGATCGACGCTTGCATCTCATCAAACAGACCGGTTCCATCAAGTCGGGTGTAGGGAATGGAAGACGCATGCTGCACGTAATCGTTGCACTGATCTATGGTAAGCTCATTGGCGAGGCCATAGGTGGAGGTACTGTAATGGTTGCCATACGTCGTTTCTCCCGCATACGTCCCCAGGATATACACCTTGACGGCGTTGGGCAACCTACGGCAAGCGCAGAGTCCAAGGGCATACACATGAGGAAAGAGACAGCGGCACCTGGTCGCGGACAGCTGGGCTCCAACTTGGCAACACTGCCCCGTCTGGACTAATCAATAAGAATACGTACGCAGTGCAGGATGCCACCGGCAAATTGAAAAAGGTGGACATGGTGACTCCCGTGCCCATGTCCACTCGAATGTGCTGACGCCTCACCAAGGAAAAGGGGGTCGTCAAAAAGTGGTAGCTCACCTGTCGCCAACACACATGGCCCAAGCTCATTAGTATGAAGGCGTGCCTACTCTGCGCCTTCAAACTGAGCTCACCTTGATCCACTCCAGTCCGGTTTCTGAGAAGCGCTTCGAAGTGTACAAGGGAGATGCTCCAGGAGCCAAGGTCGTCACGTCATCGGGGTCCAACTGTACCAACGGGCTCTGTACGGAGCTCCCCGACTGCAACAATGATTCTGACTTGGCCGAGAGTGAAGACGGGTAATAGCCGCCCACGAGGCGCTTGACGAGCTCCCAGCCTACATGCATTGAGCATCAGGGACCGGACATACAAACGATAACGCTCAGAAAAAAAGGGCCAAAAGCTTCAAGACGACATGCAGGACGGAAGAACAGAGCAGAGCCTCCTTGACCTAGCCAATACGGGTCGACTCTGTAGCACAAGCATCCCACCTCCGTCATCCAACGCGACGTCGTTCTCGCACCAAACTTGCGTGGGGGACGCAGGCTGAATGTAGCGCAAACCAGACGCAAGCCCAAGCTGCTTTGAGTGCCAACAAGAGTCCAAGGCCACCTCCGGAACGCTCCCATCCAAGTGGACACAGTAAGGTTCATTCGAAACAGCCCCCACAATGTAGGGCGTCTCCGCCTGAAATCGTGCAGTTGACGGAACACACGCGTCCATGAGTCAATCCGACCGATTTCGACCCCGACCGAGAGGTAAAGGCCAACCAAGCGAGCCACCAGGGGCAACCAACAGCGCAAGTCATGCAGTGATTTGCGTATGAACACGTCGCGCAGCCTTGATTGCAAGCCACACACTGCGGCAGAGCCGACCACGCCCCGCTTGCACCACACGTGATGCTGGAAGATGCTGCTGTCAGTCGCTGGCCCACTGGACAAGAGAGAATCAACTACATGGCACACCCGTTGGGACGATGAGACCATGATGCATGCGCACGCCAAAAGCGCATCGCTTCTCCCTCACCGCCCTCAACCATCAGTCTGGCTCCCACGTAAACCGGGCCATACGTGGTTGTGCAACCGACCTGCGTGCCAGCTGTAAAGTGGTAGGGATGCGAGTAGTTGGCATTTGTCATTGGGTCGGGGCACAACAGCGTCACGTTCAGATCGTCACAAATACCCGCTGCCGAATTTGCTCGAAACCCACACGCGACAACCTAGACGTCGTCACCATGCAGGCGCAAACGGGTTTAAACCATGAAAAGAGGCGTGCCAAGCCTCAAAAGGTGCGATGAAGCCTTGAAGTTCCCGCTGTTCTTGGCGCATAATGAGGCATGATCCACGCTGGGCACATCAAAAACATACGTCTGCCACATTCATAGTCGTGCTTTCCAATGCACTTTCCTGCGCTCCAAGGCGAGTTTCTAACCCAGCCTACACCATATCAGCCGAATGAGGAGGCTCTCACTTCCTCTCTGCACTGGCTTTGCCTTTTTTTTTTTTTTTTCACGTGCGGAGCCCGCAGCGACGCATCTCCAACGCACCACCATAGTCTGCAATGCCAAAGAGTCTTCCTCAAGGTCTTGCACGGTACTTGAGCCCGGCAAGTTTGCAAACACAGCTTGATATGATGCTGCAATGTCGCTTGTGGATGCGAGCACCAACGGAATCACCGTCTGCGCCCCATCCTCGTCCACAATTGCACCACCCGTCCGGTGCTCGAACGTATGTAGCGAAGCATACACTGTCGCATTGACCATCAACCACGCCTCCGATGGGCTGCAAATGGTTGTTCCCAAGCTGGGGTCCAGCGCCAAGAAGTACTCGACCTCGTTGCTCCCTGCTTCGACCTTCTATCAGAAAGAGGAAAGATTAAATTCGACGCAAAACGTGACGCTGAGACCACAGCCCAACGACCACTATATTTTGCCCTGGATGCTCGCACTCATTGTGACGGAAGCATACTAGACCTTACCTGGTGGATGATAGACATGTACTCGGACAAATGGAAATCGCCGTCCACGTCGTGCGACAATAGGGTCGTCACGACAGAGGCTGCCAAGATTTCGCCCGTTCGTGCCAAATGCAGCATAAAGCCCCCAGATGTCGCGTCACAGATTTGAACGCGGCCCAGCATGATCAGCTGGTCCTCCACCTATGTGCATGCACCCGCCATTGCCAGTAGCCCACTGAGCGTACCTTTCGGAGAATTTTTACTTTCTCCCGCGCCTTGGCGCACACATACTCTTGCTCACTTTTCACGTGCCAACCAACCCCTCACTCTTTCTCACTTGCTCATGCTCTCTGTCAATCCCAATCTGTGACTTGTAGACAAACCAGGCAGGTCACTTACTCGAGCTGTGCCAAGATACACCACCAAACCTGCACTGGTCGCTGTGCCAATCGACACCTATAAGCACCCACGTTGAGTCAATCATGGCTAAAAAGAAAACATGTGCACACGCACGCACACATGTGCACACATCCCCCCCAAGCGTATTGCCGTAAAACGTACCGGTAACCTGGCTTCGACTTCGGACAAACTCCCTAAGATTGCCGTGGCCTGTGTTCGATCCACTCGTTGGGGATGAGCGCAGAAAAGTCACAACTTGCATGTCCAGTTGTTGGGCCAAGTTGGCTCCAAGAATCTTTCACGGCCATCAGTCTCACCTGTCCTTGCAGGGTTGATACGTTGGCAGTAAGTTTGTCATTCAAATCATCAATCAGCACCTGGTGATCAGCCTCCTGTGCACCACCACGCCATGAGACGGTTGTGCGAGTTGGTTGATGGAAGCATGATCAGCAATACACCCGAAACAAAACATAGCAGAGAGGGCTAGTCCACCAGCACAGCTCAAGCCCACACGTGACTACCCCCTAATGGCCAAGCAGAACAAGCTGCAGGGCTCAGGGAATAGTGCATGTGAGATGCTCGTGAGCAAACATACCGCGGCTCGGAGCGCAGATACGTTGCCGGCCAGCTGTGTCTGAAGGGTGGCAATGGTTGCATCGCTGATGGCTTGCTATATAGTAGGCGACGCCCCAAAATTGACTCGCCATGAGTCTTTAGCGCATTGCACACGCATGCACACACACACAGAGGCAAGCATCGAGACGACAGCATGAGTTCGAGCCTGCTGCATACCTGCTCTGCCAACGCCGAAGTATTACCGGCCAGCCATGCCTCCAGGCGAGCCACCCGTTCTTGCAGACGAGTGTTATTCAATGCCAACTCTTCCACATTAATAGGACTTGCCATACTGCCTGCGATGGCCTCGATGTAGGCTGCCAGCGAAATCTGCTCGCCATTGCCCTAAAATTGAGCAGCAAATGCACCTCCTTGAGAAATCCATGGAGGCACCACCTGCTGACATAGCGAACAACAATCAAGCCCATCTACAATTTCTTCTGACTCGAGCTACCCAACACCAATGCCATTACCATCCTCGGGCTTTGTGCAGTACCTGGTCCAGCATAATGTGTGAGTTGCTCACGAGCACCAGCTGCCCTTCATGCACTTCGATGGAGGGCGTCGTTTCGCTCCGAACAGAGGGTTGCATGAAGCCAAGTATCGCCAACGTCAGCAACAAGACCGCCCCTCGCCCCAA